TGCTTTGGCTGCACTGTGGGAGACGACTGAGGGTGGAAAGGGGGAGACAAAGGGACAAGTTAGGGGGCTGTTGCAGTGATCAGAATGAAACATAAATTCTTTGGAGAGAGGATTAAAAGTGGGCAGATTTAAAATATGTAAAGGTGGTGGAAAATCAACGTGTCTTCAGTTAATTTTGACCATCAGGGAAGGCAGAGGGCAAGCAACTCCCTAACCTATGACTTGAAGAGTGGTACCCTCTTCAAAAGACACATGGCACAGGAGGAACAGGGTTAGTTCTGAACAAAATGAATCACGGTACCTGTATGACTTTGCACTTGCAACTTTATGAAGTTGGTAATGTCCTAAGGGTGATAGACATAGAGATCTGGAAAGAAAGCTGAGCGAGGGTTGCATGTATGAAAGTCACCAGCCGGCAGGTGAGTGTGAAAGCATGCAGTGTATATGTGTATAAAGAGGCTCAAGATCTGATTCTGGAGGGATGACTCAAGACTCTGGACAGACTTTTCTCTACCACCATCATGACTGAGGGGCTACCAAGATGATAATATTAGTCTGTCCGTTGTGGAATTGTAAGCTGTGATATTGAGTTAATCTCATCAGTTTCAGCTTCAGTTTTCTTACCTACAGACTATGTAAAACCACACTCACTTAGGCATTTTGAGACCTAAATGAGGTGAGCTGTGTTAAAACACCTAGCCTGGAAATTGGTGTATAATAAGCTATCGAAGTTATATAATGTTCCTTGAATCTGAAACCAGAAAGCTCATAGAAAGCTTTATTCATGGTCACTCCAGCCCCTAAATTGCTTTTCCTCCTTTGTCTTCTATTTTTACGAGTTGACCAACCCAAAAATCTAGAAGTCATTCTTCTCCCTCTACTTCCATATCGAATGTCACCCAAGCCCGCATCCCTGTCAGATCAGTCTACTGGTACCCCACAGCACTGCTTCCACCAGGCCCTCCTCACCTCTGGCCTGGATCACTGTCGACCTTCTTCCTGGCCTCCTATGCCCTCCAGTGCACTCTTCATGTTGCAGGGCTCCAGAGTGAGCTTCCAAAAGGCAAACCTACTGTCTTTACTTGCTAAAACCCTTGTCCCCTTTGCATAAAGTCTGTTTATAGCATGCAAAATCATTCATGATCTCAAGAAATACAGTGCTTACTTAACCTTCTAGTCTCCAATCTCACCATTTCTCTCTTTGAAGACTCTATTCTAGTCGCATGAATCTACTCTCACCCCCTGATCAGGTCACATCTCCTCTCTTGGACCTGTCTAGTTGACCCTGTTACCTTACACATTCAGTTCATCTCCTCTGAGAAGCCTTCCCAAGGCTGGGTTAGGTACTCCTCCGACATGCTCCCATGACTCCCTGTGCTAGATGGCACTTAACCATATTCAGACTCTTTGGTCACCTTCGCCAGATTATCCGTTTCCTAAAGACAGAGATATTTCCTACCCATTATGTTATCACTTATACATAGGATGCTCAATAGTACACTTTAAGTGATTAATATTTTTGTGTTTGGATGAATAAATTAAAAACCCATTAGAAAGACGTTGTGTCTTTTAACCATTTTTGTGAATCATATTGCTTAAATCTGTCCTCTGAAGCCATAAATTTTAGGTGTGTAACATTCAGCAAGTTAAACCTCTCTATGTAAACCTTGTCTGTAAAGTGGAGGTAACAACAGTACCCACCTCATAGTATTATTCTGGAGATTAGCAGAGTTGACACATGTGAATCATTTAGAAATGGCACCTGGAAGTATCCAAGAGCTCCCAGTATTATTATTGCCACTGCTATTATTGTTGTTAATACTTTTGTCCTATAAGGTGGGACCTTCATGTTTGACCTCTGTCATGTACCAGGGCTCGGGACAAATTTCACAAAGTTGCGAGATAAAGAACTCGCAAAAGCAGAGGTCAGCAAGAAGAAATGTCAGGAGTCCCTGAGCCTCTCACTGTCCCCACAGAAAAGCATGCTGGGACCAGACATGCTGAACACATTATGGATAAAGGTTCCAGGCGAAGGACCACACTTCCTTGTCACTCTCTCTTCTTACAGGGCAATCATGAGAGCAATCTTTTTTGCCAAAAAAGAATAAACAGCCTGCTTGGCACCAAGCAGTCTGGATTTGGGTGTCAACTGTTTACAGGAGTTGTCTGGGAAAGTCAGCTCCCCAGCAGCTAAGGACCTTGGGGCCAATGGGAAACAGTAAACCCTTTGGACAGGAGGAAGAAGCCACCAGTTTTACAGGAAGTGGAGTTTGGGTCAAGTGCCTCTCTCTTAAGGAAGAGCAAGGAAGGCCCCGTCTCACCTGGTTCATTGTCCAAGCAAACCAGAGAGGAGTCATGAGATCATTTTGGACAATGCTGCTTGATGCACCAATTTTTTTGTTAGTGTTTCCTTCAGAGGTACTCCAAATGCTGACATGCTTGTGCTTTCACTCCATCCTGGGTAGCTTGAGACTCTAGATTTTCTAAGAATCCACTCCTCTATCAAGACAAATCCCAAAATTTCTTCTAACAGCTTTAGTTTTGGTCAATAACATTTATTAATATGTCAGGAACCACACATAAAGGATGAGAATGCAAAATATAGAGACGTAGTTCCTGCTTTCAAGTATGTTTAGCCTTAGAGGAAAGCAGGTGAAAATTACAATACAATGTAATAGCTTCCATAATAGAAATGTGTACAAGACTCAGAAGCATTCAGAAATGACCCTGTTCAGCCAGAGATTACATTTTACAAACTATGAAGTAAATATGTTTTTGATTTACCCAGAATACAAAACTTAGGATCCAAATAAAAACACTGAAGTCCAGTTAGCAGATGTATAAGAAACATAAAATGGTAATCATCAGTCCTAAAATCAGGTCAGGTGATATGAGATTGGAGAGGAAGATGTTGTCATGAGAGCTGAATAGCATTTCTGGGGAATGGCCAGAGGGAAAGTTTGGAAGCTAAAAGAAACTAAGCTCAAACTTCAGCTCTGCCACCTATGCTGTGTGAATTTAGGCAAGTTTCCTAACCTCTCTGAGTGTAAATTTTCTCATTTAAGAGTACGGTAATAATAACCACCATATTGAGTTATTTAAAGCAGTAAATTAAGAAGAATATGCAAAGCACTTAGCACATGACACTCAATAAAGGCAGCTAATTTTTTTTCTCAGACTGTAGCTTCACTTGTCATCTGTCTTACTCTGTGCACTTATAATTAGGTAACTGTGGTGAATTGACTAGAGAGCTCTCCTGGTGTGGGATTTTAAAGTCTTTCTCTAATGGAGTTCTATTCTATTTTTCTCACTATCCACAGTAGTTTTGATACATTACAAGCATTTTTACACACATCCTGTTTTACTAAAATGTATTGCAAAATGTCATAAAATCTAAGCCTAGTTGGTAGCAAAAGTACTCAGAAAACAGATAAGAAAAAATCCTATCCAATAATGGGAAATAAAGTGAACAGAAAAAAGCTAGTATCCTGACAGGTGAAAGTGTTCTGGTCACAAAGACACTGAAATTCCTGGTTACTAAAAAATGAAAGCTTAGCAGTTAAGTTCCTGAAGGTGTTTTTTTGCTCCTTTTAACAAACTGCCTCTAGCATTAATTATGGATATTTTCGAGTCATGTCAAATAGTGTGCATTAAAAGAGAAATTAAAATGAGGTATGTTTTTTAAAAATTATAGGAAGTGTATATAGATGGTGTTACAAAAAAGAGAGTGCTGCTAACAACATTTACACTTGCACTTTTGTATTTCTGTTGTTGACACAAGGAAGAGGGGAGGTTGAATTGTGCCTCTCTTTAAATGTTAGTCTGTCCCTCAATATTCCCACATCAAAAATGGGGGAAATAAGCCCTTTCCTTTGTCTTTTTTCCAGAGATGATGTAAAAATAAAGAGTCGCATGAACACCTTTGAACACTTTATTTAAAAATAAGCTACATAAATTCCAAACCAATTTTATTGCATTGTTAGGAAACTCCCAGTGGGTCATATAGTAAACAGATAAATAGATAAATATCTTGCCTTATTTTGTATGTGATTTCCTAAGTACTACTACTACTACTACTACTACTACTACTACTAATAATAATATCATCTTGTTGTTACTCTTAACTTATAGCAATTCCTTTCCCTAGAGCTGCACTGTCCCATAGAGTAGCTGCATGTGGCTATTTAAAAATTAATGTGAATTAATTAAAATTGACTAAAACTAAAAATTCAGTTCCTCAGTCTTACTAGCCACATTTCAAGTGCTCAGTTGCCACAAGTGCGTACTTATTATCATGTTGGACAGAGAGAACATTTCTGTCCTCACAGAAAGTTCCACTGGAGAGTGCTGGCCCAGAGGATACTCAGGCCAAATGTCCTGTTGCTCTGTGGCCTTAAGCTAGGCACTGATAGCATTTCAAAGATTAAGTGACCTTAGAAGTTATAAAAGGACTTCGTAATCATATCAGTGTCAGACTAAGGGAAAGCCAGAAGTAAGTGAAGAGGAGTTAAATAGGCAATAAAGAAGAAAGAAGAAATGATGGCTGCAAAAGAATACACCCTGACATTGTTATAAAAGGATGAAAAATGATTCAGGAATTCAGTGCTTCAGCAGAAGTACAATTTTGCTTAAAACATTTGTCACACGTGGTTTTCACTAAATGCATCGATCTTAGGCTGGCTTTCTGATGTCCTAATTGGGTTTTGAGAGATTCCAGGTAAATCCCACAAAAACTATTTTGGGACATTGTGATGAAACTTAACCTCCCATCCGTACATCACAAGGTTAAAAAACCTGGGTGATCAGATGGTACGAACATATTTGCAATTCTTGTTCACAACTTTTGTATTTATCCTTGTCTGGACCACGTGTACTCGCAAGTAGTTTTCATGTTTACCAATGTTTTGGCTTCTACTTCCTGTATAAAAGGAATTAAAACTTAACCTATGTGTTATTTTTCCCCTAAGGTAAGAGAATAACCTGTGTATGTTTGCATTTAGGTCATTCTGTCCATTGAAGAAGGTTACAGACTTCCAGCTCCCATGGGCTGCCCGGCATCTCTACACCAGCTGATGCTCCATTGCTGGCAGAAGGAGAGAAACCACAGACCAAAATTTACTGACATTGTCAGCTTCCTTGACAAACTGATCCGCAATCCCAGTGCCCTTCACACCTTGGTAGAGGACATCCTTGTGTAAGATGCATAATGTTGATTTTTTTCCCCTTGACAATCATAATTTCTTTCAGGCTGCAGACAAGACTAACAGGTAAAGAGGACAAAGTCTGCTCTGATAACCGTCTAGTGGTTGACCTTTTAGAATAGTGTGTATAAACCATATTTTATTTATCAACTGAAAAGCGATTTATTAACATTTTTAAATGATCTTTTTCATAAGAAAACAGGTTCCCCTTTTCTCTTCTCCATATCTAATCTTTCTGAATCACTTTTTAAATATTTTTTCTATGTAAGTCTATGGTATTTATAATTCTTTTCTTTATTTACTGACCCTCCCTTACCTTTATAAGTAGAATTTGTGTGCCTGCAGCCCCTTTAATTTTCTTGTCCATTCCATATTCCATCCCTCTATTTGAAATGGCAAGCAAGACAGGGGCAATTTGTGAATCAGCCGGGAGCAAGGATGTTTCCTGCTGATCTGATCACACTCAGCTGTTGTTACTTTCCATTGCTCAAACCAGCAAAAGACAGATGACAAGACAAGAAAATGAAGCCACTCATCCACCATTTCATAAAAGTCAGCAGAGTTGAGAAGATCTACTCACCTCTCTCTGAAAAGCAATTATAAGAGGAGGGAGAGTAGAAGAAAAAAACACTACCATCTATGTCTGAACGTATTACATTTAAAATATTATTAAGTTGAAAATATATTTCTTAATTTAGGCCAAATTGGACTTAAAATAACCAAAGCATTTTTCAAAGCTCACTTTCCCGACTCAGGGGATGGCCAATAGGAGATACAGATGTTCAACTTTAGGTCACAGTTTCAGGCCAGTGCAGGTTTTTAGTGATAAAAAGGCCGAAGGCTCTTCAAGGACTACTTGAAGCTGGCCTCAGTTCACAGCGGAGCGCATGAGAGTTCACCTCTAAATCACTAATTGGCAGCCTCAGTAAAGTGAAGCCAAGCATGAAATAGCTAGAGATTAAACTATTACTCTGGTCCGTCTTCCCTGAAGCAGTCCACCACGGGAAGCTGTGACGGAGGGAGGCAGTGGAGGGAGAGGGGAAGCACTTTGGATTTTATCATAAAAGCAACGGGCAGCCATGGGAGGATTTTAAGCAAGAGAATGGCATGATCACAATTGCATTTCTGAAGGATCACTCCAGGGCTGATTTAAAGTCCAAGTGCAAAACAAGGAACAAGACTGGACACAGAGACAGTTAATATGTCTCCACAATCCAAGCTTGGGAAGGCCAGGACCTGACGTACGAAATGAGAGTAAGTTTGGAGTCAGGAGATAAGAGAATGGACTTATTGTTAGGCAAGGAAAAACGAATGTGTCTTGGTCATTGATTGAACTTGGAAGGAGAAAGAGAGAAAAGAATAAGACATTTGTCAGGTTCTTTTCTTCGACAAGCAGGTTAATGGTATTACCACTAAGACAGAGAGAGAAGGACAAGTTTTTGCAATAGAAACGAGACCATTTCAAGCCTGCTGAGTTGAAGATTCCTGAAGGGCATCTAAGAGAAGTTATCCAAGAGGCCCTTATATTTACATTGGTTTAACTCGGGTAAAAAGATCTGGGCTAGAGATGTAGATTTGACCAATATCAGCGTATTGATTATACCTGAAGCTTTAAGCATAGTTAAGAAAACCCAGAGAGAATATACAGAATGCAGAGACACAGGAAAAGAATTCAACCCTCTGGAACATCAGGATTTAAGAAATGAAGAGGTGTCCCCAACGGAGACTGAGAAAGAAGAGGCAGACAGGGAGTGAGGAAAGCAGAAAAGGAGAGGTATTCTAGAAGCCAGAAGAGGAGGCAGTTTTAAGGAGTGTGATGTCCAAGGTGCCACAAAGCTCCAGTAAGATAAAAACGAAGTGTGTCCACTGGATTTAGCAACTGTGTGTTTAGGTGTTCACAAGCAGCCTCTGCAAGGGCATTTCCAATAAAGTTGTGTGAGACAGCTCAGTGCGGGGGTGGGAGAGGGACTGAATCTGAGGGCAGAGAGAGGAGCAGTACAAAGTGCCAAGCTCCATATTGTTTTCTCAAAAAACCTGTCTCTGAAGAGAAAGAGAAGGAATTAGAGAAAATATTTTGGGGGTTTTGTTTTCATAGGTTTTATTGGAGACATGCATGCTCTAATGTTGGGGAGAAAGAGCTAGTAGACAGGAATTCCAGAGCGAGTGTGAAATCATTTAATCTGGGCCTCTCGTGGTATAGGGTTAACGGACTCCACAGCCAGTGCCCGTCCACGGAGCTCTCTGACTGTTCCATGGCTGTAGAAGCAGGCAGGTAAGAGCCTTCTTTTCGAAGAAAACCAGATAAAACCGTTTCTTCCCTGCTTTTTCAAGATAATGAATGTTCATCGTATTTGGAAAATAATGATGCCAAAAAGTCAAAATGATCCAGAGGTAAAGTCAATATGAGGGTGTGGGTCTGAGGGCCAGAAGTTTTTGTTTAATGGGAACAGGCCAGAGAAAGTCAGGCTCCGGGCCGGCACTGCCACACATGGGCTAGCGGTTGGGTGATTTATATAAAGCTGGCAGTGTGATTCAATTCTGAAGTTTAATCTCTGGGAGAGCAAATGGAAGTTTTGAGGACTGATGTGCTGTCCTTGTTTCTGGCAGAGACATATGTGCCACCGCCTTTGCCCTTAATATACTTTTGTTTGAGAAGCAAAAGGAGCAAGAGTTCTAAGGGTATCATCCCTGAACCTCTGTCAGCATTCTTGTTTGGGTTCCCCTTGTGTACCCTCCTTGTCTACTCCCTCTCCCCAGTGCCACCCACCCACCCTGACCCCAGAGAACTGAGACTGTTTAGGCAGAAGAGAGGTGGAGGACTGAAGGATGGCAATGTTGGCGACAGAATGCCTGGTTTGTTTTATGCTTACAAAACCGTGATGTTGCCTCTCCATCCCCCAAATCCCAAAGCCCAGTGGTCCGCCCCAGAGCGGCGCTGGGCTGAGGAAACACGACAGCGTGTAGGGCTGCGGTGCTTCCTCTCAGGTGTCTCTCAAGCAGGTAAAGGAGTCTAAGCGCTTATAATCCACAGCAATGCTTACTAACTTCTTCTATGCCCGCCTTTTCTCTACTATCCCCAGACTCCCAGGGTTCTCTCACGCTTCTCTACTGACATAACTCTCACTCACTAGGTCCCCATGGCCTTTATTCCACTCTAATTGCTTTTTCTCAGGAATGCACCTGAGAAGCTTTTATCTGTTCTCTTGACAAAGTAGGAAGAGGGGAGGAAATTAAGGTGACTCAGGGAGGAGGAAGGCTGAGAAACCCACAGCTTACTAAATTTATACTAGCATATTGGAAATTTCATAAACCTTACATCTGTAATTTTTCTTTCAAAAGACAGAACACCTAATAGAAAAAAATTGTTGGTCAGAGAAGAGTTTTATTATTTGGAGTAACCACTCCAAACAATACCGACAGTCTTGTGCCTGACACACTCCCATGGGAGTGTTCAGAGCTTTGTGAAGTTCCCAGCCTTCCAGCTTTCTCTCCCACTCAAGAAAGGGTTTGAATGTATACGTGAATGTAGTGATATTAATAAGCACAACCGTAAATCCAATTGATTGTAAAAAGTAGTTTGTGAAATTACCTTAGTCATATAGATAGTCATCTTTTCGTGAATGAATTTCAAACTACCTTCACTTTCATTCACAGTACAATGAGGCCTTATAACCTCCCTTCAAAGAAGTATCTGTAGCTGTCAAAATGACGCACAGCCCTTGGGGAAAAGCCCAGCTCGAGACCAAGGCCACGTGGAGAATGGCGTCAGGAGCAGTGCCTGGCCGTGCTCTTTGAAACACCTCTTGCTCCCTCTCCCCTGACCCTCAGGATCAATCTTAAGAGTTACTGTCAGCCGCAAGTCAAGGATATTGCCATGGAGGCCAGAGTTACATCTGGGGCCCAGGAGTTTAATAGCACAAAGTAGGTTGATGACTGTAGGGATGTTCCCTCACCCAGCCCCACCGTCCCCACCCACCCACATTGTCCTACACATTCTCCCTCCAGCCTGTTCAGCCCCAACCCCTGGTTCCTCCGTATGCTGCTGCCTACTGAACACACTGGTTGAAGTCAGCTGGCCAATGCGGTTCTGGAGACTGCTACCAGGTACTAGGGAAATAGCTCTTTCCTCCAGTTCCTGTTTCAGATCCGCAGCTCATCACTGATAAGAATTTTACAGATTATAGGCTCCTTGACAACATCAGCTAAAAGGTAGCATTCAGAGATGAGCAGCGACTGACCAGATGGACCAGTCCATGATCGTCACCTGCCCCAGAAATCATACTCTGCCCAGGCCAAGGCACATAGGAATATTCTCGCTACCCACTGGACCACAGTTAGGAATCTTTTAATATTTGAGCTCTAGTAACTGGAGCCACCACTTCCTTAGTACTGGATTCCTGTAATATGTGAATCATGAAGAAGGGAAAGGCTCAAACCAGTGTCGTAATTAAGAACCTCCGCTTTAGAGAATTGTGGGTAAACATCGTAAGACTAAATGATGCTACCTGCTTCCCTCCACTTAATAAAGCACCTATAATGCTGTCTTCTGAGGGCACCAACTTTCAACAATTTGATATAAATTTTTCTCCTGATTTTTCAAAGATCTTGCTCAGCGCTGCCTTGGCGGTACATAATCAGCACTTGCTAAATTGTTTATCTCTATAAACTAAGTCACGGACAACTTGTTCTGTTTAAATTTTGTAACTAGCACTTTTAATGTTGTTTTTTATGACAGAGAAATAACTGGCTGGCCAAAACCAGTGTTGTAATTGAGTGATAAGCAAAGCTTTGTGGAAGACAGAATGTTACTCATCAGGAAGTGTGAAATTTCTGCCCATTAGAAAATCTAAATTCAGTTCATATGAACTGTTGCCACAATATCATACTACTAATGATAATACCAAAACTAACACTGATACAAATTCTAATAAACAGTATCAACAGTAACCATTCCTGCATTTTGTTAGGAGCCTCCTTTGTGCCACTCACTGTACTAGGCACTTTTAGCTGTCATGCCATTTAATCCTCACTGTTATTATCTCCATCCCTCGTATAAGGAAATGGAGACCAAAGGGATAAATTTCCCAAGGGTACACAGCAAGTAATTCCTAGATCAGGAATTTGAATGTGGTCCACCAATTGCAAAACCCTTCTTTCCACTACACAGTATACAGTCATCCAAAATTACAAGATTTTTTCCTGTATAGCACTGTTTCAGGAATATGATTATAAGAAAAGAGGATACATTTTTACATCTCCAACTAGATTTTCTCTGGACTTATCAGACTGCATAGATGGAGTATATTAAAATCCTAAAAAGAACTTGTGGTAGGGCACAGCCTGTTATTTTATGTTCCACTAAGCAAACAGAAGAATGGAGAGAATGAGTATTCATGGAAATACGAAGCAAACACATAATCTGCGTATCCCCCTAACATCCTTCCACAATGCTCAGCCACTTGGGGAGCATTACTTGAAAAAAGAAAGTAGTAACTACAACAAAATAAAGAAATGAGGAAAATATGGCAGCAACATAGTTCCAGAATTACATCCTCAGGCATTTTTTAGATTGAATTTTTGCAGTGTTGGCAATGTATGCTTTTTTTTTTTTTGCTTCTTTGTCTTGTTATAGTAGACATTACTAATCATCACAACACTCCTTCTTTTCAAGACCACATTTTGATAACCACTGCCAATGAATTGTAGTTGGCATGTGATATGAAATCTATTTCTGCCCCTGAATTATTTACCCACTGAAATAGGCTTTCCTTGAGGTTCACTGATCTATTACTGTTACTATAGTGACCTTGTGCTAAGTACTCTACTCAGACTATGGGAACTATGTAAACAGTATTATTCCTACCCTGTGTCTAGCCCTATAATATTTAAACATATCTTTAATTTTAAAATTTCCTTTGAATTTCATTCCTTCATACTTTTTTTTTACCAATTATCAGCCTTATTATGAGAGTTAAATAATCATAGCAATTAAAAAAAATAACCTGAAGACTTACTGAAAATAAAAGACTGACAAAAAAATAAATCATGCTCCCAATTTAGCGCAGTGAAGAGTCAGATTGTTTGGAACAAAGAGATATTGCCCATAGCCATGAAATAGTCACAAGATTTATGGATGGTTCTCTGCTCTTAGGATTTTATAGCATCTCATGAAAAATTACACTTCAAATTTTTTAAAGACTGTCTAATTTATTTCACTAATTTGACTTGTGTTCAAGTTGACAATTAGGCATAATTGTAGGGAGGGCAATGTTTTCTTTTTGATTTTATTAAATAAATTCTCCCTTCAAAGGTTAGGTAAGTAGTATGTGGTATTAGATTGTTTTATGGATTAACTAAATAATGTGAAGTATAATCCCCTAGTCATGAGAAGAGAAATTCATTTTAAAACAGTGATATTGAATAAGGTGAGTGTTGCAGTTGTGCTGTGTGGTTCTGAGTCCCTTAACCCTGTGCTGCCTCACTCACCTATACCTGCCTCTTCCTCCACTCCGAAACCGACACAGAGATAAGCAAACACGTCCACGATACAAGGAAGCAGTTAAATAAACAGCATATTCATTAACAGATGGACCATTACATCAGCAGGCACATACTCTTCCGTTTAATGAGTTAAATGAAAATATATCATTCATCATTAATAGGTGATTATGTCATGGGCCAGACTTTTCAGTAGAGAATAGTCAAGTCTAAATCATTACTTATTTAATAAATTCCTGTAAATACTTTCAGCATTGTGCTAAAGCCTACAGAAAATTAGAGAGACATGTGAGGTATGCTTCCTGCCATCAGGGAGTTTTAACTTACTCTTTAAAAAAAATTATTCTGTCTTATGGATTTTTCCCAAAGAAGTAATTCAAATGAAGCAAAAAGATACATACTCTAATGTTGCATAATCATCCGTTACAAAATAAGGCTAATAGGAATCTAAGAGTCTGACTTCAGGGAATTAACAAATTACTAAGCATCAACATAGAGAATATTATGTGCTTATTTGAGTATTAGTTATGAAGACCACTGAAACATGGCAAATATTCATACATATGTGAAATAAAGGCAATACAAAATAGAATCTGCGCAGTTCTGCTCACCATATATAAATGTCAGAGCTAGGAAGAAAGAAGTTACATTAGAGTGGTGAGGGGAGAATAGCCTTTAAGCATGTAATAGTTTCATATTAAAGTGAGATCCTACCTTGGAATAGTGTTTCTCAAAACATAACCTTTCTTGAATCATTATTAATATGTCTATTACTTTTATATTTACATGATGGGTATGAAACATGGAAAACTTAGGAGAGTAAAAACCCTCCTGCTTTTTAACAGGAGTTTTGATACCTACTGGCAACCTAAGAGCTCTGTAAATTAAAAGACTGGTACAATTGTGAACTCAAAGGGCTCACTAGAATAAACACTTCCTGGCCCTATCCATGCTGTTCATTTTTACATGTTTAGATGTATTGGGATTATGTATTTATTGCACCTGAAACTATAGTATGACCTATCCTAGCTATAGCTCAGCCCTTTCTCCAATCTAAATGGACTATAATTTATACCTCGAATGTCTTAATTCTACCCCCTTCTTATTTTTCTGAGGAAAGTAGTAGACCTTTGACCTTCTGTTCTACAATATGTACTTTTTATGTGAGTTACAGGTTTTGCTGTAAAGACATTTCTCAGGTGGGCAGCTTCCACTAATCATCCAACAGCAGAAATTTCTACATGCTCAGCAAATAGCAGACTGAATTTATCATTGTATGTGGTTGATAAGAAAGGGCATTTATTGTTTGTTAGGTAATATTCCAGAGAATTCATGTGTGTGTGATGGTACCCAGCCCTCAAAGCCAGAAGATAGCAGCATTTTTCAATTTCGTTGTAAGGGGAAAGAAAAGTTATTTCCCAGAGGCTGTGAACAATCAGGGGACCCTGACCTTACTAAATCAGCTGCCAATGCAGTCATATAAAGGCCAAAGAGTAACTAGGTTACTAAAGATGTGTGGAGAGAAAGGAAATTATGGTATTGAAACATTGTGGGAGCAGACAGTAGACGCTTTTCAACAGAGAAATAGGCCATTTTAAGTCATTTGGTGTACAGAATGTCCTTCCATGACCTTTCTATACTAAGGACATAAAATTAGCAAATTACATTTCCACTCACCAATCATATGAAATTGTGAAAGCTCAAGAGTTATTCCGGAGTTATCTCAGGAGAGAGAAGTGGAAGTCATCTGACTATGTCTGTGCATCAAGAATGGCCTCGGAGGATGAAGAGAAAGTCACTTAGACACATGCTTTTAACTTTGTTCAGTTTCAACAAATTTCTCTGACAAGTAATTAAAAGATATGAGAGCCACATTGTTTTGAAATAGGGCATTCAGTTTTCTAACGTGTGTGGTTTTGTTTATGTTTATAAGCAGTAAGGATACCCTGGTCATTTTGATACTTAAACTTGGTCAGTGAACTTACTACCACAGTATTTCCTAAAGTATGTTCCATAGAAACTGGTCAGGTAATTTGGGAAAATAGTGCAGAAGCTATTCTGAATCCTCCTACATATTCATACTGCATATTAGAATAGTGAAGACTCTAAGAGATGCCACAATTAAAAACCCTGTTTAACTCTATTTGCCACGGAGACCTTTATTATTTTGTATTTATATACAAACTTGTATTTATTTGATAATACTTATTAGTATAAACCTCTAGGAAACAAAGAAATATAGCAATAATTACAGTGTTTACTGGTAGATGCTATGATAGCTTTTCAATCTTTGAACATAACTAAACTTTGTTTAGGGTCAAATTATAAATCATTCTGATATTAATTAGAATGAAATAGTCCATGATCAAATAGCATTGCAACTTATAGTACAGGAAAACAGAATGTGGCTTAACAGCCTCCAAAATAGAGAATATGGTTACAGAATTGAGTAGTGGTAAAAAGGACACAAGTCTCTGTGAAGGGTAATCAGACTCTGTAGGGACTGAGGTGTGATCACAAGACACATGCATTTAGTTTATGCAAATTTCAATTATATAGAAAGAGCGAAAACCCCTGGATTTCTTTGTCATCCTTCACCCCTTCACCCACCTTCAACTAGAAAATAGTTTAGAAAAAGGGAAGTCCATGTAGCAGTCAAAGGAAAACCAAAGAAACTAGTTTCAGGTCTTTAGAAGGGACTGTGTCTTGAACAATCCCTAGGGGCATTTTAGGGTCTTTGAGAATCACAGTGCACAATTTGTATGGCTCTGCAGTACATCTCTGGCTTTTATGCTCCTAAAAACCCAGGTCCACGTGATTTAATGGTAATTTAAAGGACTTTTAAGGTAATTTTGATTGTTAGAGAATTTCAGTTTTCACCCAAGAACCTAACTCCCACTCCCATGTAGTCTTAACAGAGCAATACCAGGTTTATATAGCTTGCATATGCCATTCTGCTTCACAGTAGAGAAATTCTTATTTCATGTGGTTTAATCATATGTGGTCGTATGTTATTAGTTTGTAGTTAAAGTTGAAACAGTTCAAATATGAATGGTAAAACTATTTAGATGAAATATTCCAAATATTATTGCTGAAAACTCTGGCTCTAGTTAAACCTCTGTGGATTGTGTCATCCTTTAACTTTGTAAAATATTAAAAGCAAAGTAAATGAAAGTTGGATTAACCTTCAATATTCAATATAAAAATAATTCAGTGGTTTACTTCTAATGGGAAATTTTTCATTGCTTAGAAAATACTGATTGACTCAAACACCAAACATTAAAAAATTGCTATTGATTTACTATTTAATATAAATTCTAGACATAATAATTTTTAAATGATATATTTATAATTATAATATAATATAATTATATAATTATATAAATCATTAAAATATATGTATGTATTCTACTATAATTTCTGAGGTTATTTCCACTTTTATTCTGGCTTTAGCTTATATAAAACTCTTTTTGTACACAAAATTCACTAGCCTCTTCAAAATAATACCTTTATATAATTTTTATATTAAAGCTAAAAAAAATCCCCAGCTGGAATGCCCTTTGCATCAGATCTTAGGAACAGAAATACAGATTTCTGTATCACTTAAAAGACCCATCAGTGCTGGGTTTCTTTTTTCTTACTAACCCAAACTTCCACTGATTTTGCTTTAGTTTTGTACTTTATTAGTATCTGTGCTTTAGGCTGTATTATCCTATGCTAGGATGTATGTACATCTTATTCATGCAATTGAGCTCTCTGATAGCAGAAATTACTTTTTAATAAAGAATAATTTTTCTGTTGAATGTTTGAAAACAAGTAAGTGGAAGTTTAATCAATGAATTCACCGTAAAAAAGAGAAGGGGCTATCAGCAATTGTGAAAAAGACAAGAGTGTGGATTCGGTGGCAGGTTGGAAAGTTTAAGAGTGAATAACCTATGTGTGGCTAGTTACTTTCTTTTGGGCTGTTCCTCAAGTTTTAAAACACAATTTCATGCCAGAGAAAAAAGTAAAGAGAAGTTAGCAAGATGTGAGTTTTCTCAAGATATATCAAGTATAAAAACCCAGTCATGGCAAAAAGCAGGAAAAGACAAAAGAAACTGGCAAGTAAAACTGACCAGATAAAAATGGCTGATTTGAATATGATGGAAAAGTTTTAAATCTCTAATTTTCCATGGAGGATGAAAAACTTAGATATAAGAATATTGTAAAATTGAAAAATAAAGTTGGGTATTTTTTGCAGTATCTGGCTTTTAAATGGTCTCCACAGGTTTTTGTTTGTTTGTTTGTTTGTTTGTTTTTCCCTTGTAGAATGCCAGAGTCCCCTGGCGAAGTTCCCGAATATCCTTTGTTTGTGACAGTTGGTGACTGGCTGGATTCTATAAAGATGGGGCAATATAAGAATAATTTCATGGCAGCAGGGTTTACGACTTTTGACCTGATTTCAAGAATGAGCATCGAGTAGGTGATACCAGATTTATTATTATACTTAGATGCTCCACTCAGGAGATTATAAATTCAAATACTGTATCAAGAACATCATGGTTAAACTAACTTTCCTAACACTAGTATGGTATTTCCACATCTTTCCTCACCATTTCTCATGATCATTTTAGTGAAAATTGGACATTACACTTTTAACTTTTTTCCTTTGAAATAATATATTTAACTCAGATAGCTATTTTAAAAATTTTAAATGCTTTCTAAAATGCATATTACTCTTGTTCACGTTGTAGACCTTACATCAACATAGTTTTACCCTGGCAAATTATTTATGAGTCATGTAGACTAAATGAATTACTATTACCTTCATCAAATGTAATCATTGTGATAATACAGTATTACCATGTCCTACCAGAGCTTTTTCTCTATATTGTAATGGCTGGGCATTTTTACACTGCCTCAAAGATTATCCTTTGCCTTAGGTGCAGTGAAAATGCTCAGCATATGCTTAAAGGATAGGTACTAAAACTAGTAGATTGAGCTATGTGAAGTTGCCATTGTTTTGAAATAATAATGGCAATTCATATTGTTCAACGTAATGCAATGGAATTTTTTTCATATTATTAAAAGACCATGAGAATACAAATGGAGTCCACATTATACTTTCTATCCTACTTGCTATTTTGCTAATTCTGTTGAAAATTTGTATAATTATATAGATTATATAACCATTAGGCTTATGAAATTTCTGAACATTACATTGGTACCTGAATTCTTTGTACCCTTATATTTGAGGTTGATTTGATGCACTCTCTGGCACTAGGGAAAAGAAAAATGTTAGACTCCTGATGGTCATTTATATTCCTACTTAAACTCTCATTTTAGCAGATAAACAATTTTTGGCAAATTCTTCAAGCAAGTCTAACATGGGGCAGAGCTACCATATCTAAATGTTCATTTCCTCTCTATGTACTTACCAGACCTAAATGTTCACATTCTCTCTCTCCCTCCCTCCCTCTCTCTCTCTCTCTCTCCCTCAATCTCACAGTGACATTAGAAGAATTGGAGTCATACTCATTGGACACCAGAGACGAATAGTCAGCAGTATACAGACTTTACGTTTACACATGATGCACATACAGGAGAAAGGATTTCATGTATGAACGTACTATAAGCACCTGTGTTTTGTGCCTCAGCATTTCTGATATCCTCTCTACCACCCTCTCTTCTGATTCTCCAAACATCACTTCACAAACTGCAGTCTCCTGTTCAGACTACGGGCACACACCTTTCGTTTATGCTTCCAACCTGGATTTTAAAATCACTCTTCATAGTTCTTCTCTGAATAAGCTGCAAATCAGACCCACTGCAGATTATCACTACACAATGGTAAATAACTCAGCATGGATGTGTAACTTTATACAACAGTATTTCAGAAGGGTTCAAGGACTTGACACAAAGGAATTTGCCCAGTTGTGGCTTCCTTAATGATGTATTTAGAGTCTGATGGTAGATGAAAAAGAAGTAATTGACCTTTCTTTCTTTCATGTTTTGTGATCAAATAGCATTCAAATTGACATGGATATTTGTTTTTTAGATAATTATATTCAGCTCTGTGGGTCATAGTGTTGCTTTATTCTATAATTGTTTAACTGGTGATGTCTGATGTTGTCAGAATTCTTTGCAGAAAGACCAACGATCTCATGTAGTGAATTCTTATCAGGTGTGACTATGGTGAGACAAGAGTCATCCAGGAGGGCGAGGGGAAACATACTGTGTTTTTAAATCTTCTAAGTCTTGATTTGTCTTTTTTTTTTCTTTAATTCTTTTTATTGTGTCCCACATATTTCAGAGTAGGTGGTGGTTTAGAGGCTTTCTCTTCTAATTTTTTTTTACTAGCTATAATATACTTCTCTACTACCTTTCAAAAATCACCCCTGGAAAGACCAAGAGTGAGTTTTTTGCTCTAAAGGCTTTCATAGAGTGAAGCATGGAATAAATCCATGACTATTCCCTTGGTTCATCTTCACAAGTTTGCAAAAGTAATTATCAAAGCACTGAGGAAATCAGTTATTCTAGGTTGCTTTGAATAAAAGATCTCAGATTATAGCCTTAGATTAAATGTAAAAATAATAATTAATTTAATTTAAGCAGAATTTTATGATAGCTTTATGGTAGCCCAAGAAAATTGGCACATCTAGCTAACTGTCTGATATTGGTGCATTTTGCAAATTTAAGAATTTTTATGTTTCACTCATAAAAATAAGTTACATGAACATGCTGAGCTGTTTTCCAAACCTTCCAAGAGACAGGTATGCCATTGCATACACCAAAGAGGATATAAACAGAACTGGCACAGGAGCATATATGAATTGTGTGTCAATCTGGGTCCTTGATACAGTAACATAAAAACGTAAACACAGCTAAGGTGTACTGTTGCCATAATCTGCAAAAACAGGCAAATACACTTTTCATTGAATTAAGCTGAGTCAGCTTATCAAAATAGTACTGTTTTATGAAAAAATTCAATTATAGAATCAGCTGTTTCCTGTGAAACTGAAAAAATGATGGCTGTGCTAGGTGGGAGAGTAGGGAGAATGTGTTAAGAGAAAAAAGACCAGGTTGTCTGAAGATGCTGATTTAATTAAAATTAGTTTTTATTTGATCTCAGAGATAAAGGTGCCCTACCCATATTCTCAGATTCCTACCTAAATTACATTTTTTAGCAATAGTAGCTTTCTTGCTATAAAAGGAGCCTTGCTTTTTCTCTTTTCCTTATTTTAAGGTTCGTTGATTGTCCCATTAGACCAGACCCTTCCACATATTTTCTTTTGCTGATTTATCTCCTGATTTTTTGCCTACCACAGCTAAATTTCTCTCATTAAAAAAAGAGAGAGAGCTAGAAGGAGGAGTTTTAAAAGTATTCCTTAAAGTACACTAAAACAGAAAAAAGTGGGAAATCCATCACTTTTTAAGTAAGTGTGTCAGAAATAGCTAGCAACATTTTCCAGCCATCACCTGCACGGTCATGCATCACTCACAGACTAGCTGCAGTTTGCTTGATACATTTACATAAACCCAGATACATTTAGAGGAAATATAAAATTTCCATATTTACCTGTCTTCAAATATATATTAAATAAGAACAGATGTAAAACAGATTAAATTTATTAATCATATATATATTTATTTTTATAATACAACAAAAATATTTAGAAAAATAAGGAATAGAATAATTATGGTCTTCCATAGGACTCTGTCAGCAACATCTGTATTCTTTGATGAAATAAAGTCTATAAATTATTTAAACTTCTATGGGATGGGCATTCAGTGCTTGAAAGATTGAAGTTCTCTGTTAAGATATTTTTTCTTTAAAAAGTCCAATGATCTTATTCTATACCTATTAATTTATACTTTTTTTTCTTCCCAAACACCATTCTCTAGTATTATAAAACTGCCTTTTCACTTTGTCTCTTACCCCAAATCCTCTTTAAAATTTACATTTATATTACATTTATATTTTTTGGAACTGTAAGCATGATAATCTTTACTGTAAATTTAAACCTCATCATGGTCAGAGCAAGGTGTGCAAGATTAAACAAAAACATTAAAAAATAAGGATATCTATTTCTTTACTGCCTACCAATCACAGACTCAAAATTTTTACATGAAATATTTTGAGATTTACTAGTGCACATATTCAGTAATTAAAACTGTTTAATATACATAAGCATAAAACTTAATTATAGACAGAATATAAGTACCTTCCATAAATCCCAAGCCTTCAGAAGTAATCTTTGATAACTAAAATATGTATATACATTCAGTAACTGCTTTATTTTAAATGTCCTAGGCTATACTACTGAGGGGCTTTTTGGATTTTGAAAATCGGACAGTTGAAGGAACCGTTTTCATTTTATTTTCTGGGTGGTCAGTTTCCAGTCTGTAGCCAACTCGTTCTCTCATAGTATAAGACATAACTGAAAAAATTGTAAAAACAATGCACAATCAAGAAGAGAGATTAGGTATGTAAATCATGACACTAAAAAAGCCATCAGAAATTGCAAAGCTCTTGGCCTAACAAGAATTAAGAATCACAGCACTTTTGCACTGACTTATCTTATAACTTTAGATAAATAAGTTATGCATGCCATAATCAAAAAAGATTTATCTTATTTCACTTTGTATTACTCTTTAAAATCTATCCAGCTATCATCTGAAGAAAACAGTTTTCCAGCTACAGCTTTAAGGCCTATTTTAGCCCATGAATGAAAAACAAATCCAAATCCAATCCTTCGAAAGCAAAATCTTTACAGAAGGTCTTCTGAAGAGGTGGTGAAGAACACATTACATTACCTCTCTCCCAACCACAATTTCTTTAAAAATCCATTTTTCTGTCTTGCCCGAACAAGTTTCTGTTCTGTAAAGCAGCCAGTTAAATCCCTTACCTCAAAATTTTCACCAGTACTAGGTCTCTTTTTTTCTGTTCCCTTATTAAGTTTTCTACAACATTCTTTCCCAGCTCCTTCCATTCCTCTCTCTGTATTCCTCCATCCCATCTTTTTTTTCCGTTCTCAGCTTCTACCACTCCTCTCCATATCAACTAAAGAAAATTAGCACAGAAAATCTACAAATATCTTACAGATCTCCTTAGAAGAGGCAGAGGGTGGAGGAAAAAAGGAATGTAGCAAAAGTCATACTTTAATATTTTGGGTCCTACCACACAAATGGGAGCATTTGCACAAGGAGTATGAGTTCTGGCTTTTCATTAACTGGAAATTAAGTGCTTTGAAAATAATTTCAAGATGGATGAAGATAATCCTTTTCTACCACTTTAGCTAAGAAAATAATTATTAATTTAAAAGAAATGAATATTTTAAGAATCAAAAACTGTTATTATCAACTCAAGATTGGTATACATGTCTTTATATAACAAAGAGATTAGAATCAGATGTCATCACTTCTTTTAGTATCATCACCTTAACTTCTCCAAGCTCAAATTCCATTAATTAGAAAAGTCTGATATTCACATTCAATCCAAGAATATTTTAAAGCTTTTTATATGAAGACTCCAAAAGGTAGAGGAATACACTGGGTCAGATTGATGGTATTCTTCCATTAGAATACCAGGCACTGAAGTCACCCAATGTTTGGTTTTTATGATCAATATTTTTGACAGATTTTCAATTTTTATATAATGCTCAATAAAGGCAGTGTAAGCTTTATTTAGTTCAATGTAACAAATGTCTATAAGGTATCTCCTACATGCATAAAGTTTTATGGCAAAGATGAGTTTGACTATACTGTCCTTATTTTCTAAGTAACTCTTAAGCTTAAAACTTAGAAGTCAGAGCCTATCTGCTATGCTGGCTGTGACTGCCATGTCACTAAGGGTTAGTTCTTTTCATAAAACAAAAATACATTAAGTAAGTAAAACCTTGTCCAGTGTGAATTGGATTTGCAATCCCAATGGAAAGAAATGTTCTGGACCTCAGATTTTCACAGAACACTCCACACTTCCTATGGCAGAGGGGAGCACACCTGCTGGATTCTCTAAGACGATCTCTCTTGTTAACAGCTGATCCTCCTCAGGAGTCAGATGTCTGCATTCTCGTGGCAAACTTTTCAGTTCACATGTAGACTCGCTCAAAGAGGCCTCAAATTAGACAACATCAGCCATTTTTCAAAAACAGTTCTGGGATACACTCTTGCCCAAGCCAATTCACTGGTCTTAGGAAATGTAATAGTAAGTATACACCTGCAGTGGTTACATAAAATTCTTTCAAACATGATATATTTAACAAGGGAAAGAGATGATTACTCATGACCAGATCTACATATTACTAGATGAAATAAAGAAAAAGAAAAGTCTTATCTTGCAGAAGAGTAAATACCCCATTTTTCTGTTCCCTTAAAAAGGCAAATACTAGACAAGTGTTTCAAAGATTTCTTAGGATAAAATATATTTTTTATATTATAAGAGGACACATATGACACATACATGTCTCCTCAGGGAAAAGGTCAAAAGATCCAGAAGAGGATCCAGATCATCAAAATGTAATTTTAACTAATCCTCTTTCTTCTGACTAATAATTAGATTCAATTTCAAATTAATGATGATCTATATACAATGTTTAAAAAAGGATATTTACATCTTAATTGAAAGACTTGGGTGACGCTGGCTTTTTTAGGATTTTAGAGTAGATTTGAAAGTGTTCTTTTGCTTATAAGTGTTGTTTCAAAATTACTGTTTTTAAAAGTGAAACAAAACATTAAAAAAAACTTTCAATTACTATTGGTAGCAAAGCACTGCTAAAAAAAATAAATAAACTTCATCTCTTAGAAAAGAATCTGGCAAATATGAAGTGTTGTGTGTCTCTTAATGGTACCAAGTTACCTCCATTTTATTATGTTTTTGCACTTGCCCATTGAAAGCAAAGTTTCTTTCTCGGCAAAACAAAGAAGGTTCGTGCTTGAATTTCCACACTGGTTTATCAGAATATTAAATCTCTGTAAGCATTTTTTATTTGTTTCATTGAAAAGGGAAAAAATCTCAAAGAAGAATTCCACTATCTTTTAGACTTAATTCATCCTTAAGAATAACAAAGGCATTAAAGGAAAATTACCTGACAGATGAGGATGAAAGATAGCTTTTAAACGTAATATATAAAGATGTGGTTTCTACTTTTGATTGGAAAATAAAGTACAGATTAACGACACAATTTCCTGAGAGTTGTAAATTAGAAAAATAATCAGAATTAGTGAAAATCTCTCAAGCTCAGTCCTTATCCATATTTCTCTATTACTTGTAACCTCTGGCTGTCTTTAATTTGTCATGATAAACTTTCTTTTGGTTAAGATAGTAAGTTATCAACTCAAATAGTAAATCAGAACAACTGAGATAATGGCTTTAAAGTGTCCAACACAATAATGAAAGGAAGACAGCTCTGCTTCAGGTTTCCTGTTTAGTTAGCATCAGAGTCTCCATCTCATTAGCCCTGGTTGAAGGGAAAATTGTTTTTATTCCAAAATAATACATTGTTATAAAGAAAACTCCAAGGACATGAGAACCTTCATTTTTCATATATCTAATTCAAATTTTATATTTAGGCATTATTAACTTTGAAGATAGATGTCCTCATTATCATGAGTTAAATATGAGCTTACATGACAAGCAATATTGATGCGAACATTTCTATACACGTTTTTCTATGTTTATAGATCATCATCCTTAAAACAGTCTTAATTTACCTTTGTTCTAAAAAGACCAAATATCATTTACCTTTTTGAAATCATGATAGATGGAGTGAATAGTGCTAAATCATAAAGATTAATAAACAACACA